ACGCCTATAGTACCAGCTACTCGGGAAGCTGAGGTGGGAGAATCACTTGAGCCCAGGAGTTTGAGGTTGCTGTGAGCTAGGCTGACACCACGGCACTCTAACCCGGGTAACAGAGTGAGACTCTGTGTCAAAAAAAAAAAAGGAAAAGGAAAAAGAAAGTGATAATACCTACCTCATAAAATTGTTGTAAAGCTTCAAAAGTGTGTAGCAGGAGGATGGCGGGCCTGGTGTCCTGAGACCTCTGGTCACCTCCTCCCCACAGTCTGCCGGGAGCTCTCACTGGAGCAGGAGAGGACCACTGCTTGAGGGGCCCTGGAAATGGGCGTGCTGGGGGCAGCAGGTGAGCCAGGCAGGAGCAGGAAGGAGGGCTCATGGGGTGTGAGGGGTGAGGGTCACCTGGTGGGGCAGCGTGAGTCAGCAGCAGCCCGAGGAAATTGCCCAGCCTTCTCGTGGACCCAGCGGAAGAGGATGATTTGCCCCCTGTACCAAGGCCCCATCAACCTGAAGAGCCTGCTGCCATCAAAAATAAGGAATAATTTAGAAGATAATGTGTAATACGTGTCCATGAGACTGGAGGAGTGGGCTCCACAGAGAAGACACATGTCATGAAATATGTGCTTTTGTTCCCAGAGTAACCACCAGTGGTCTTTCAACTGAGTGGGACTTCATGCAGGTTCCGAGTAAGGTGCTTTTCTGGCTGAGGAAGCTCTAAAAGTGAAGATACCTTGTTTTGATGTATCACTGGTTTATTTAACTAGAAAATTTAGGGATCTTGTCAGATCTGTTCATGGGGGTATTTTTTATTTAAACAAGATTGCAAGAAAACTGAGTACAAAAGTCAAGAGTACGTGACATCACCAATGTCTTAGATAGAATCAACCTAGTTGAAAAAAAATCTAAGAACCATATTTGGTGGGTAGGATCTGATCGTAGCAACTTTGGAGCAATAGCCCAACAAAAAGCTACAGGAGGAATATTCTGACTTACCAGTAATGGAAGATACATTGGATGAGTTAAGGATTGTGCTCAGCAGTTGTCTGAGAAAATGAAAGGCCAGCATATGTGACATATCGAGATATTCCTAGCATTCAAGCCTTCCGTGAACGATTGTTACTGCAGTTAAAGCTCCCACAGAAACAGATTGGATGTTCCAGCTGCAGAGAGGTAGGATCCTAGCACAGCTCCTACGCAGAGCACAAAGGGACCTACTGAAGTCTGCTTGTGTGAAGTGGAGTAGGGTCACACAGGTCACAAAAGGTCTGAAGGTGTCGCCTCTCCATCTGAGAGCCAACATCCAAAACAACTGAAAAAGAAGAAAATCCTCAGCCAAGTGAAGAATTGCTTAAAGTGACCAACTGGTAGCATTTGAGAATTCATGTATTGTGTTTTTTGGGGGAACATCCTATGTGGATGGATTATGCATCAGATTTGATTCTCAGAGCAATAACTCATCCCTGCAGTGCTCTTGTTCTCGGTTAGTAGCAGCCTTGATGCCAGTAGTACCTTTGATTAGTTTACTACTTAGATTACTGGATAATTGTGATTTCCACATTTGAAAACAACTCCTTTTTATAATTAGTCGCTGCTTTTCGTCAATGACATCAGACATCTTGACTCCTGAAATAGTTCCGTCATAAATAGTATTACGAAAACGGATGGGCCTGAAATGGGCAGTTCTTTGTGGACTCTACCCTTGCCTTCAAGGATTAGGTCACATATCACAAAAGAAATCGCCCTGCAGTAGTTAGTTCATGTTTGCAATTAACTGTCGAAATTCCCCAAAGAAAGCTACGGGGGCACTGTGTGTCATCATTGGAGTGGCTGGTGGTATGGTTTGACAAAATAGGGAATACAGGAGAAACAGCAAGCGTAGGATAAAAATTAATTATGTTTTAGACATGCTTGATGAAAGTTAGAATTTAGGCAGGTAATTGTGAGGTAATTGTGTACATGTAGCTCAGGCACTCAAAGGAAAGATCTGAGCTCTGTATAGTAGATTTGGCAGATGTTAGTTTATATTTGATGATTTAAACCATGAGAATAGATGAGGTCATTTAATGAGAGAATATAGGAGGAGAAGAGAGGCCAAATAACATTTATATTTAATCTATATTTAAGGGGAAATACAGAAGAAAAACGTTTCCTGAGAAAGAATAATGACAGGGGGACTAAAGAAGGTAGTGTCCCAAAACCAACAAAGGCTTTGCCAAAGACGATAGCATCGTTTCTGAGCAGCAGTTCCCTTACTGGCGAAATGTGACAAATATTCTACTTTACATATTGTTCTGAAGGTAAAATGAGACCATGTAAGCAAAATCCTTTTTAAATTGTAAATATGTTATAGAAGTGAATCATCTCTTGAGTCACTCCAAAAACGAAAAACAAAAATAAAGTATGTAAAGCAGCTAGCACAGAGCCTGGCATACAGGGCCCTGTTAGTCAATGAACGGTGGCAGCCCTTATCACTGTCGACAGCCAGGTGCCCTGTGCAGTAAGATTCTGTAGGCGAGGAAGTTTTAACATACGTTGTAAGTAGGAACTGTGTTTTCCGATGCACAGTGGCATTCCAAAGGGGAAAGGAGACGTCAGCTTTCTCGCCCTGTTTCTTTAGGTGGCTACAGGATGTGTTTAATGTGCCCTTGGTCATCCAGATGACGGATGATGAGAAGTACCTGTGGAAGGATCTGACCCTGGACCAGGCCTACGGTTATGCCGTGGAGAACGCCAAGGACATCATTGCCTGCGGCTTTGACATCAACAAGACTTTCATCTTCTCTGACCTCGACTACATGGGGTAAGGAGAAGACACCTGGCTGCCTTCTAAATAAGTAGATGCAGATGTCCAGTCATCATGACCGCAGCTAAACCTGAAACATTTGAACTGATCTAAGGCCTGGTAAATGCTTTTCTTCCCTTACGAAATGTTCTGATGTGGCTTATTGCTTTCATTTGCCAATGATTTTGAAAGTAGAAAGCTGTGTGTATACATAGAAAGGGAAAAGTAATGTCATTATCTTAAAGACTCAACTATTGCCTTCACAATTATATTTAGAGAAATGTCAGATATGCCCTCAGCCATAGTATGATGGCACCTCAGATTTTTATCCTCCGCTGTGACAGAAAAGCACTTCTTCGTTGTAGTTTCTCTCCAAGGATGGTCAGTCTTGCAGAGTTACGACATTTTTGCCTTTCCAGTGTGCCTCTTTCTTCACAGAGAAAAGACTTGCTGGTTACACAATTCTTTCCCAGTCTGATATTTTAAATCAGCCATTTGATAGGCCAAAATATTTTATTCTGAAAATCCTGTAAGTTTCATCCCAAATGATTACCAGGAAATGTGTTAGCAAAATGAGACTTTGGTCAACCATCACAAGAAGAAATCTATTTAGCTGATCAAGTATTTCTTGAGCACCTAGGACGTGATCCTCCCGGTAAGGTGATTCCCCAGGAAGAGTTGATTCGGCAGGTGGAGACTCCATCTTGCTGTGCTAAGTGTGGCCCAGGCGGCCTCTGAGCACAGGCCCCACCGTGTTCTCTCCCAGTTCCCAGCAAAGTGGGGTGCGATGGGACACCCAGGTGGGTGTAAGCACAGAGCGTGCCTATCACCACTTCCCCAGAGTGTTCCCTTTGTGTGGACTGAAAGCTTTAGATCACTGAGAGCAGCAGATGCCCTAGTCTGAAATCTAACCTTTCTACCAGCTAGTAAAATCATTAATTTTCTGATTTTACCTATTAGATTTCTTTCAAAATCACTCTTGTTTCTACCATGTGAGTGTAGAGGCACTGTGACATCCTTGAAGGAAGGGAAACAGATGTGGGTCCAAGCCCTGGCACCTCTGTTTAGTGTCTGTGTCGTATCCGTGAGAACACGGATGTCATCGTTGTTATAATTTTCATGGCAGTTTATTTCCTTGCTCTCACCCCGTTTCTTAAAACAACCTGATTCTACTGCTTGAACCTCAACACAGACATGCCACGGGTTCCGCTCCTCCTTTTACGGCCAGGCAGCACTGCGGACGCTGCATGGCAGCTGGTGTCCTTTGAGGCAGCCTCTCCCTGCCCCAGCGCTGCCCGTCACATCCTTCATCCCCCATCAGCCAGCTATCACCTAAAACACGGCTCTGATCTCGCCTCCCACTCGCATCCGTTTCCTATCCTCCGCCATCACATGACGATGGAAGACCTCACTCTTCACTTAGCCCTTTTGTGATTGGCCCCTGTGTTCCTCTCTGGCGTCACTGCCACCTCCAACTAGGTGGAACAGTTTGCAGTTCCACATCCCTCACCTTTGTACACACTCTGCTCTGCCCAGAATTCCCGTCCCCTCCCCTGACCCCACCACCCCCAGGTTGGCTGATTCCTATACTTTCTTCCAAATGCATGATCAAGTGTCACCTTTTCCTGGGAGCTTTCCTTCCCCAAAGTCAAATTTAGATCCTCCTCTCCAATCCCCCAGCACCTGGCCTCACCTGCCACATGTGGTACAGTGTGATGCCCCACCCCCACCCCCCGACTAAGTGGATAAAACACATGGTTCCTGTATTTGTACTCTCTGTGGTGGGAACCCTCCTGGGCCTGCAGACAGCCGGAGCAAAGCCAAGTTCCTGCCTCACTGAACTTACACGTTGGTGGCGAG